AGACGGGGAAAAACTTAGAAGCCAACAGAAGACCTATCTTTAGGGGTAAGGGGTGAACAAGCAGAAGTGCACTTCAGCTGGTCATACATGGTGGGACAGGCCCTGGGAGGAGTCCACACATGGTGAAAGAGGGCAAGCTGGCACAAACGCAGTTCATCTAACCCTAAAGAGTCGGATTGGGTGTGTGCCCATTCCATAGAAGAGGCTGAGTGGCCCATCTTTCTTCTCTCTTTTCCCTGCAGACAGACACTGAAAACATGATGATTAAAATGAGTGATGTGATGATCTGATTAGTATTGCTAAAACTTCCCCTTGGATATGTTAACATTAAAATTAGGAAGGCCTTAAAAAGAGGGTTAAAAAGTTATTTGTATAATGTGACTTGCTTTTAATGTTTTACAATTAGGATGTTTTTAAAAATCATAAAGACGCTAAGTCTAGTTTTTTGGTTCAGTTATAATGATTGTTATTTTCGCATTAAGAAAAAATTGTCATTTGAGTTTAAAAATCTTAATGTGTGTCTGTTTTAAAACAAGCAGCCAAGAGGCAACGAGTGACACTTGGCCTCAAGATTTCAAGGGATCTTTTCAAAATGCAAATAAAAACTAAGGTATACAATATTAAAAAAAAAAAGATTAGTAGGAGACTTAAAAAAAAATAGGGAATGGATTTTTGGATATAAAGTTTAAAGGTAAAGTTGTTTTTAACATTGGCCTCAATGTGCACAGAGGAAAAATTAGGATTGCCAAAATAATTGCTATTCCAGTTTGCTCTTATAGGTTGTTGTTGTTGTTGTTTTTTTAAGTTTCCAGCAAAGTCCAGAGCAAAGCACAGAGGATTCTTACAAGTTTGTCAGATGTAACTTTGACTCTTAATAAGTTTCAGGTAAGAGCATGCTTAAAAGCTACTTCTATGTTGACCACCTTGTTGCTTTTAATTGGAGTAAGGTGGCCTTTTATAAGACTCATTGATCTGCAAACTGGTTCAAAGCCAGCCCAGACAGAAAAAGGTCCCTGTGAGACTGTCACCTCTACTCAGCCAGCAGAGTGCTGAAAGAGCAAGCAGAGATGCTTTGGGACTCAAAGTGGCAGAGTGCCAGCCTTGAGCTGTAGAGCTGAGGGACAGTGCTCAGGCCCGAGTTCAAGTCCAGCGACCAGCTAATGAGGCATTTATCCCAATGTGGAGAAGACACTCCTGGGACAGTAAGCCACTGCTTGGATGGCAGAAATGTCAGATCCTAGAGTCATTTGTGCGTGGCCCTTCAAAACTGGTCATAGCCGGGAGGTCATGGGAAGAGTTTGAAAGCATGCCTAATGTCCATGACTATCTACCTTGTAAGGGACAGGAACTTGCCAGTCCTCTGTGATAGTAAAAAGCCAATGTTATAAAATGTGGGGGATAGTTTAAATCTCAACCCCTTTGAACTAGGCCCTGAGAGGAGACTCGAGCTGGGACAGCTTCTTTACAGATTTTGTTTTTGTTTTAGGGGTATAGAAAAAAACAAAAACCTTGGCTCCAACCAGCCCAGTTCTTGAAATGAAAAGAATGCCTCTAGGTCCCCCTCCCCTTAACTTAACCCACCTTCATTGTTTTGTTAAAGACTGACCGATTAAACAGGTAGCCAGTAATCCGGCTCATGCTGGCATGCTGACTGGCATGCTGGTGACATCCCGAGTTTACTATAAACTCCACCTTTTCACATGTATATATTAAACTTCACTAAACTCCTTTGTGTATATTTACCTTAAGCCCACTTTACGGTTGAATTTGTGAGTCATTTAAACCCAAAATGATAGGCTGGTTTAAACAGACATTATGTGACAAAGTGTAACCTCACTGGCCACCTGTGTGTGGTCTGGTATGACTGTGCAATCTTTTGGGTGTGTGACAATCTCATTGGTCGCCTACGTGACCAGGCTTCACCTTGTGATTTTTGCCTTTAAAAACCTAAGCATGTGGGCCGCTCGGGGTCGCAGTATCAGCTCCCGAGCTTGTGCTGCGGCCCTGGCCGGTCAGTGTAGGAACCTTCTCAATAAAGTTGCTTCTTTAATATCAACTTTGTTGCGGTGGGCTCTGTCACTCTGGACGACTAGGTGGGCTTGCCTGCCTGAGTAGGGGTCTTCCTACTACACCTTTATGTGCCAAAAGCTCAAATTGACAGCTCTAATTGAGCTGACACTAGTTACATAAAGTTCATCTGCTCAGGAAAAAGTTTGTAAACCTGAGAGTGTGTTTCTATTGATATCTGTCTAAAGGCCTGCAAAGGTGCCGCGCGCTGGTGGCTCACGCCTGTAATCCTAGCTACTCAGAAGGCTGAGATCTGAGGATCGCGGTTCAAAGCCAGCCCGGGCAGGAGAGACCGTGAGACTCCTGTCTCCAATAAACCACCAGAAAACCGGAAGTGGCGCTGTAGCTCAAGTGGTAGAGCTCTCGCCTTGAGCTGAAGAGCTGAGGGACAGCGCCCAGGCCCGGAGTTCAAGCCCCACGACCGACAAAAAAAAAAACAAAACACTAAAGGCCTGCAAAGGTAACTTAGGCATTGTTGGGATCATTAGAGATCACATTCCTAAGCCACCTAGGAAGATGCTTTTGCAAACCAGAGTGCTAAACAAGCTACACTGCTGTAGCCAGAGAAAAGGTCTGTGCAGTTGTCAAAAGTTAAAATATTGTTCTTAATGACATCTAACCCTGATGGCCTCTTTGTAAAATAGGCTAAGGTTATAGGTTCCTGGCTAGGTAAGATCAACGCCCCTGAAGTCAGCTTAAAGAAGTTACAGAAGGTGGACCTTCGCCCTTCTATCCCCTTTTTAAGATCAAGGGTCCAGAGTCAGTTTTGAAAAAATGAGGCAAAATAGATAAAATATTTTTTTTTAAAAGGCATAAAAAATAGTGTTAACAGTTGTCGGTGTGCCAGGTGTGGAGACTGCATCTGTCAGAGATGGTTACAAGACTAAGCCTTCTGAGCCTTCTGTGTCTATTTACAAAAATATCTGGTTAGTAAAAAAAAGTTGTGATTTTGGTAAATTGTCCTGGGCTATTGTTTGAAGATCTTAAAAACCAGCAGGATCAAAGCCTGTCAAACCTATGCAATGTATCCTTAACCAGTCTGTGTAGGAATTTACAGCCCAGCATGAGGTGTGACAGTCCCTTGGAGCCACTGAGAGACCCTGCTGCTGCTGCTGCATACCCTAATGGGTAAAGTTCAATGACTGCCTGACAGCCACCTGGAGGAACTCCTGCCTGATTCCATCACCTGAGTCTGCTTCCTGGTTGACTGCTGCTAAATCTAAGATCTTGTGGGACATTCTTTTGGGTGATATCCAGAAACCCTCTCTTCCCACAGTGGATATTGAGGACAAGGATATCACTGGCTTGCTTGCCTTAGGCACTTCAGTGCATAGTGACTGGAAATCTACTCTATGGTCACAGCCTAGTTTGGCTCTGGTATGGTAATAACCTGAGTGTGTTATCTATGGAGGTAATACTCTTAGCCTTAAAACCTAGCAAGCTTCTGCATCACAGTGGTGCCTTAAGGCTGTTCTAAGATAAAGGTTCCACAAGCCAAGGAAAAATTGGGCAGTTTTAAACTCCAGCCACAAAGATGCTCAAGAAATTGTAAAAAAAAAAAAAAAAAAAAAAAAAAGGTAGTAAAAAAAGCCTTGGGAAAGGAATTGAAAAAATTTAAAAAGTAAGGATTGTCTTTAAGACAAACCTCAGAAAGTTTAAGTATGTAGCAAATGGTATGAGTATGTCTTAAAATTGGAGCTTACAAGTACAGCTGGCATAAAATTAAGTTAACTGTGATACACGGAGTCAGGACTGGTGAAAAAAAAATGTAAGGGGCTCTGGTACTGTTACTTTTGTTACAATCGGACCTTGTACACTCAACAGACTGGTGTCTTTCGTAAAAGAAAAAGATCAGCGCAGTCCGTCTATTAGTTCTGAGATCCAAATACCAAGCATTAAAAACAACTGACACCCCACAAGATAATAAAGAGACACCCTGAATTTTAAGATTAAAATTAGTCCAAAGAAAAAGGAGGGAATGAAAGATTAAAATTTAGAGTTACATTTTACAATTGCTAACTGCTGATTTTGCTTCTGTAAACTTGCTTCCCCTCCCTAAAAATAAGTAAAAAGTTTCAGAGTCCAGATGCCGGCCCTGGGACAAGGTCTGTGGTTAAAGATAAAGAACAAAAGAGTATGTTTTTCTAAGTTCTTGTTTGAAAATTCCCCAAATGGGACCCAAGATAAGGACCATCTGGCAAGTCCAGCAAACTAGGTCAAACGTCAACCAATCACAAGCCTGTAACTATGTGAACTCCCCTCCAGGGTGACCGCTCCCCCTAGATTTGCCCTGAGCCAACCATTTTACAAAGAGTGTTACAAAGTTTCCTGTGTAGCAAAATGATTGCTGGAGTACACAGTGACTTGTAAATGGACCAATCGCGGGGCACCTGGTGTCATATGCTAATCCTGTGGTTTTTGCCTTTAAAAATGCCTGTAACTGCTGCTCGTTTGCACAAACGCTGAATAAATTCCTCTTGCTTGTTGCATCTGCTGGTTTGGAGTCTTGGTTTCTGGGGCGCCTTCCCGCAGACGAAAGTATCCCAGGAGTCTGGGGTCTTTCACCTGCAAATGACTTTATTTTATTCTTTCTACTGGCTGTGTAAAAGTCCATTGTGTAAGAGGTTTTTTTTTGTTTTGTTTTGGGGGGGGGGTCCGGTTGTGCGGCCTGAACTCTGGGCCTGGGCAACTGTCCCTCAGCTCTTCAGCTCAAGGCTAGCGCTCTACCAGTTGAGCCACAGCACCACTTCTGGCTTTTTTCTTTTTTGCTTATGTGGTGCTGAGGAATCAAACCCAGGGCCTCATGCATGCAAGGCAAGTGCTCTACCACTGAGCTACCTTCCCAGCCCCGTAAGAGAGGTTTTTAAACAAGTCTTCTTTTCAAATTGATGGAGTAAAGACAGTTTTTAAGTCACACTTTTTGAGACAAATTGAAAAATAATTCCACATTTATTTAAAGATGATACTAATGTTTTAGCCCAGTTTTCATCACATTGCTAAAACACCTAAGATTTAAAAAAAAAAAAAAACCTTGAGAGGAAAGTTTGACTTCTCACAGTTTTAGACGTTTCAGTCCAGTGTTACTTGATCCATTGTCTTGTCCTCTGCAAAGACAGAGCAGAAAACAAAGAGATGAATGGGCCAGAGTCCCCATGTCCCTTAAAGACCACACCAAAGACGGAACCTCCCCCAACAGATGGCACAACCTAAATTTCTACCACATTGCAATAGTGCCACCTGCTGGAAGCCAAGCCTGAAGCTCATGAGACTGTGGGACACCCCAGCTGAGAAGTTTAACATTCCACCCCTGACTCTAAAGTCCATTCTACCTCACAAGGAACTATTCATTCAGTTCATCACTGAGTCCCCATTTTTCCTTATGCTTAGCGCATGATCAAATTATTAACCATTGAACTATAATAAACTAGTTAATACTACTTATTAGTCATTTATTCAAACCATTAACCTAGTTTGCCCAAATTGTCTTGCTAACTCTACCTGGATTAACCTTAAACCATGATCCTCCTAACTCTACTTCCTACATAGCGAGGATCACAGGCATAGATAACTGGCTGACCCTGATTTCTTTTTTTTTTTTAATGGGACATTAAACACAAAATTAACAAGCAGTATTTACTTGGGCAAATCCAAGTAGCTCTGAAATAGTGACCTTCTTACAGGAGTAGTTTCCCACTCTGTTGGAGCATGTTGTCAAAACACTTGTTCATGGTGACTGTGAAACTTGTTCAGGTTTATGATTAATGAAGAACCATTGCCTTTGAGCTCTGGAAGAAATAGACTAATGAACAGGACTGAATAAAGTTCTCTTGAGCTTTCTGCCAAGGAGCATAGAGAATTCTTGGCAAAGTAAAATACACACACAAACACCACACAAGCACAAACTTTTTTTAAAAAAATCAATTCCAGGACAGATCCACCTGAACTAGATTTTTAGTTCTACATCCATCCACTTCTCAATCTCAACACCACCACTATATTTCAGTGGGGTGTCTGAAGGGTTTGTTTAACAAGCCTTCTATTTGTAATCTCAAAGGCCTGAGAACCTATGGGACCTTCTCTGCTCTGAATAAACAGATTGCATTTGCTGGCTAGTACTCTTTGAAGTGGAAGAGAATAGTTGATTCTGTGTGGTCCTTTTCATAATGGGTCATCACACACACAACATTATGAGGAAGGAGAAACCAATCATCTTCATTATGAATGATTTCCCTGGCGTTCCCTTTGTCTCTCTTCTTTTTTGTTTTGTTTTGTTTTTGTTAGTCGTGGGGCTTGAACTCTGGGCCTGGGCACTGTCCCTTAGCTCTTCAGTTCACAGTGAGCACTCTACCACTTGAGCGACAGCGCCACTTCCAGTTTTCTGGTGGTTTATTGGAATCTCACAAACTTTTTTTTTTTTCATTTTATTATATATTTTTTTGTGAACATACTGTACAGAGGGGTTACAATTACATGGGCAGGATAATGCGTACATTTCTTATCAAGCATTGCAGCCTCCTCCTTTGTTTACCCTTCACATCCCTTCCCAGCCTCCCCCCTCCACCTAATCCTCCCCCCTCCTCTCCCGCGCTCCCCCCCCCCCCCCCGCACCAATGTTGTAAAGCTCGTTTTGGACATGACAACTTGTACTTCTCATTGTTGCAACAGGTCCACCTGTATCCTTAAACAACTGGTTTTTCCCCATCTCCTCCACAAGTTATACTGACATCAAATATAGTGAAAGCAGGGGTTATACTGTGGGGGAGGGACATACAAAGCAACAAAGAGATAAGCTTACAAATGCTTTAGAAACAAATGCATGAAAGAAAAAAACATTTAAATACATATCTAAGGGTTCATTTTCCTAACATCACATTATCTGACCTTTTCCGCTTGACTCATACATATACTAGATATTGCAAATATGGGAAACCATGGGACCTATGTTTCTTTGGGCCTGGCTTACTTCACTTAATATAATTTTTTCCAAGTTTTTCCATTTCCTAACAAATGGGGCAATGTCATTCTTTCTGATGGAGGCATAGAATTCCATTGTGTATATATACCACATTTTCTTGATCCATTCATCTACTGAGGGGCATCTGGGTTGGTTCCATATCTTAGCTATGGTAAATAATGCTGCAATAAACATAGTTGTGCTGGTAGCTTTACTGTGGTCTTGTTTGTAAACATTTGGGTAAATGCCCAAAAGTGGGATTGCTGGGTCATAGGAAGCTCTATGTGAAGTCTTTTGAGGAACCTCCATACTGCTTTCCAAAGTGGTTGAACAAGTTTACATTCCCACCAACAATGAAGTAAGGTTCCCTTCTGTCCACATCCCCTCCAGCATCTGTTGTTGTTAGAGTTCTTGATTTTTGCCATTCTAACTGGAGTGAGGTGGTATCTCAATGTTGTTTTGATTTGCATTTCTTTTATGGCTAGGGATGTTGAGCGTTTCTTCATGTGTCTATTGGCCATCCTTCTTTCTTCTTCAGAGAAGTTTCTCTTTAAGTCTTTAGCCCACTTATTTATTGGGCAGTTGTTTCTTTGAGGATTTGTTGTTGGGGGATTTAATTTTTTGAGTCCCAAGTATATTTTAGATATGAGACCCTTGTCTGTTATATGGCTAGTGAAGATCTTCTCCCAATCCGTGGGCTTTCTATTGATCTTGCTAGCTATGTCCTTTGCCATGCAGAAGCTCTGCAACTTCATGCAATCCCATTTGTCCAACCTTTCTTTGATTTGTTGTGTTTCTGGGTCTCTATTCAGAAAATTTCAGCCTGAGCCAAGGTTTCTCCTATTCCATCCTGTAATGTTTTCAGAGTGTCTGCTTTGACTTCGAGGTCTTTGATCCATTTGATTCTGGTGCAGGGTGATATATAAGGATCTAGCTTTAGTTTTCTACAAGTAGTTAACCAATTTTGCCAGCACCATTTACTGAAGAGGCTGTCTTTCTTCCATTCTATTGTTTTAGCTCCCTTATTGAAGATTAGATGGCTATAGGTCTGTAGGTTCATTTCTGGGTTTTTAATTCTATTCCATTGGTCCTGAGGTCTGTTCTTATGCCAATACCAAGCTGTTTTGATTACTATGGCTTTATAGTAGAGTTTGAAATTTGGTATTGATATTCCTCCAGCAGTGTTCTTTCCATTGAGGAGCGTTTTTGCTATTCGGGGTCTTTTATTGTTCCATATGAATTTTTGGATTGCCTCTTCTATTTCCTTGAAGAATGAGGTTGGAATTTTGATAGGTATCGCGTTGAATTTGTAGATAGCCTTGGGAAGTATTGCCATTTTCACGATGTTAATCTTTCCAATCCAGGAGCATGGGAGGTTTTTGCCATTTTCTAAGTTTTGTTTTGATTTCCTTTTTCAAGATTTTAAAGTTTTCATCATAGAGGTCCTTCACTTCTTTGGTTAAGTTAATTCCTAGGTATTTTATTTTTTGTGGGGCTATTACAAATGGAGTTGCTTTCCTAATTTCAGCCACACTTTTCTCATTGTTGGCATACAGAAAAGCTTGGGGTTAACTTTTTACCCTGCTACTTTGCCAAAGTTTTGAATCAGCTTGAGTAATTTGGGAGTGGAGACTATGGGATTCTTTAAATACAAGATCATGTCATCTGCAAAGAGGGAGAGTTTTATTTCTTCTTTCCCTATTTGGATCCCCTTTATGTCTGCATCTTGTCTTATTGCTGTAGCTAGGCATTCTGATACTAGATTGAAGAGAAGTGGAGAGAGTGGACATCCTTGTCTTGTTCCTGAGTTAAGAGGAAATGGCTTTAGTTTTTCACCATTAAGTATAATGCTGGCTATAGGTTTGTCATATACAGCCTTTATTGTATTGAGGAATGTTCCATGGATTCCTAATTTTTCCAAAACCTTCATCATAAAGGGGTGTTGGATCTTGTCAAATGCTTTTTCTGCATCTATTGAGATAACCATGTGGTTCTTATTCTTGCTCCTGTTGATGTGATGAATAATATTAATTGATTTGCGTATATTGAACCAGCTTTGCATCCCTGAAATGAATCCTGTTTGATCGTGGTGTATGATTTTTTGGATGAATTGTTGAAGTCGATTGGCCAAAATTTTGTTGAGAAGTTTTGCATCAATGTTCATCAAAGAAATGGGTCTATAGTTCTCTTTCTTTGATGAGTCCCTGCCTGGTTTTGGGATGAGGGTTATGATGGCTTCATAGAATGTGTTCGGTAGTGAACTTTCTCTTTCAATTTCATTGAAGAATTGGAGGAGTATTGGTGTGAGCTCTGCTTTGAAGGCCTTGTAAAATTCCGCTGTAAAACCATCTGGTCCTGGACTTTTCTTAGCTGGGAGGTCTCTTATTGCTGTTTCTATTTCAATGCTTGATATGGGCCTGTTAAGATGGTTTAACTCATCTTGGTTTAGTTTTGGCATGTCAATGTTTGCTAGGAAAAGGTCCATTTCTGTCAAGTTCTCAAATTTATTAGCATAAAGTTTTGAGAAGTATTCCCTTATAATGTTCTGAATCTTGGTTGTTTCCATAGTGATGTTTCCATTCTCGTCTCTAAATTCATTTATTTGGGTGTATTCTCTTCTTTTTCTGATAAGATTTGCTAAGGGTCTGTCAATTATGTTAATTTTTTCGAAGAACCAACTCTTTGTTTTGTTGATTCTTTCTATAGTTTTTTTGGATTCTAATTCATTTAATTCTGATTTAATTTTAATTATTTCTTTCCTTCTACTGGATTGGGGTTTATCTTGCTGCTCTTTTTCAAGGAGGTTTAGATGTGTCATTAAATTGTTGGTTTCAGATCTCTCCAATTTGTTGATGTAGGAGCTCAGAGCTATAAACTTGCCTCTGAGTACTGCCTTTGCTGTGTCCCAGAGGAGCTGGTAATTTGTGTGTTCATTTTTGTTGAATAGCATGAACATTTGAATTTTCTTTCTAATCTCTTCCATGACCCACTCGTGATTCAGCAGTGTGTTGTTCAGCCTCCATGTGATACCGGACTTTCTTTGGTGGCTTTTGGTGTTGAGTTCTAATTTTATTCCCTTGTGGTCAGAGAGAATGCAAGGTATAACTTCAATGTTTCTGAATTTAGACAAGTTTGCTTTGTGGCCTAAAA